CGAGGTCGTCTGCGGAGACGTCGGTTCCCTGGGGCCCCCACGCGCGGTGGGCCGCGAGAGGGAAGCCGGCCCCCGGTGGCACTGACCCCCGGGAGTCCCAAACACCGCAAGTCACACAGTCCTGGCTGCTGGGCCCCTGGCAGGGAGCCCTGCCCTGGGTGGGGGGTTCAACTGCCAGGGCGGGTGGGGACAGCCTCAGCGACCGGGGGAGGGGGAGCTGGAACGTGGCGGACAGGAGACTCGCCTCAGGCGGCTGGAGCGGCCCTGACGGACGCTGGGGCTTGGACCGCAGACGCCCCTCCCTGACCCCCTGACCGTCTGGAGGCTGGGGGTCCGGGGCCCAGCCCCAGGCCAGCGGGGCTGCTCGCTGGTGGCAGAGGGCCACCCCTCTGCTGTGCCGCCCCTCTCTGAGGGGCGCAGGGAGAGGCCAGCTCTCCAGTGTCCCTGTCCCTTCTCCTGAGGCGCAGACCCCAGCCCGGGGCGAGCCTGTGGCCAGGCACCCCCCGAGGCCCCGTCTCCGAATACCGCCGCACGGGGGTCAGCGCAGGACTTGGGGACGGTGCACGGCAGCCACCCTGTGGGCATGTGCTCCGGAAGGAAGGCCGGGCCCGGGAGCAGAGCAGGAGCAGAGCAGCTCAGGCCACCGCCGCCGGGGGCGCCTGCAGGGAGGCGGCCCCACCCAGCGACCCAGAGGCTCCGCGGCTCCCTCTGCCCTTTTCTCCGCTCTCGCGGTTCGGTTCCGACCGGCCTCCTCCAGCTCTGACTCACCAGCCCCCGCTCCCTCCCCTGCACGTCCAGGCCCTTCATCACTGAGCCCTCGGGACCAGGAGGTGTGGGTCGGTATCGGACGATCTGGGGTCTGTCGACCACGGAGAGACATCCGGTCCAACCAGAGATAGCGTCTAGGCCTCTAAACCCCGCCGACCGCAGTCTGGAGAAACCAGACAGAGCGGCTGGAAGGCTGGCCTCAGGACGGCCAACGACCCCCACCCTGGCTCCGACCTGGACCCTGACCCTGGATCTGACCCCTGTAGCCGTGGCGGTGATTAACGGTTCTCCGGCACAGCCCCTCCCCTTCGGGCTGCTGGGGAGCCAGGTCCCTGAGCAGGAGCCCGTGGGGGCCCGCCTGGCACCTCCACTTCTGGGCTTCGAACCCCCGTTCCGGGCGAGTGTGCGTGGGCCCCGTGGACGCCTGCAGGGTGCTGGCGCCGACGCCAGCAGGAGAGGCAGGGCCTCCAACGGGGACGCCAGGTCGGAGGGAGCAGCACACACGCACGGCTGGGGGACAGGGCCCGGGGTGGGGGGCCTCCCAGGTGCTGGGGGACACGAGTCCTCACGAGAGGCCAGCGGGGGCCCGGGCAGGGTGTTGGGGCACCGCCGCGGTGCAGGGCCAGGCCAGGAGGGGCTGCTGGGTGGGCGTGAAAACACCCCGAAGGGGGCTCGGTGAGCCTCCTGGGCCTCCGAGGCTGGGGCAGCCCCCAGGCCCCTTTCCACCGGGCGCCTGCGTGTGGGCGAGGGCCCCGGGGGGCAGAGGCTCAGCGCCGTCTCCCTGGAGGGTCTTCTCTGCCCCCAGAGTTCGGGTTCCTCTTGGCGTCTGCAGGCCCAGTCGCAGGGTGACCCTGGTGCTGGTGTCAGGCGGGACTCTGCGGGGACCCCTGGCGCGGGGCCTGGGTGGCGCTGAGGCTGGCTGGAAGCCTCTGCCCCAGGTGCGGGCTCTTCCCGTCGAACTGATTCACCCCGGGGTCAGGCGCACACCCTGGGGTGGGGGGCAGGCAAGGTGGGAGGGGATGGCGCCGTCACCGGGCTGCCTCGTCCCCTGGGCGTGGGTGGCCGAGGGCCTGGGACCCTGACCCAGGCAGGGTGTGTGGGTGCCTGAGGCGGTTGGGAGCAGCCCGTGCAGGCGTGTCCCGTGGGTGCGGACGGACACTCCAGGGGGAAGGAGGTTCTCAGTAGGGACCGAACACGGCACAGCCACTGAGAGTCCAGGCGCCAGCGGAGACTCACTCAGAACAAGGGCTGTGTAGAAACAGGTTGTAGCCCTGGCTGGTGTGGCTCAGTGGACTAAGCGGTGGCCTGCGAACCAGGGGGTCGCTGGTTCGATTCCCAGTCAGGGCACATGCTGGGGATGCAGTCCAGGTCCCCAGTAGGGGGCGCGTGAGAGGTACCCGCACGTTGATGTTCCTCTCCCTGTCTCTGTTCCTTCCCCTCGCTCTAAAAATAAATAAATAAAACCTGTAACAACAAAGGCTGCAGCCCTGTGCAGGCCGAGATACTCACAGCCCTCATCTCTGGGCAGGGCCGCGGCTTTAAGGTTTTTCTTCTGTGCTTTTCTAGTTTTGCGAGTTTATACTTTAGTGACAGGTTTCACTGTTAAGAGTCACAAAAATATGTTGCCTTTGGCTGCTGGCCATGACTTTGAAATCCCCGAACAATGCAGAGTGCTTCAAAACAACATATTTGTGCGCAGAGAAGGCTGGCCCCTGGCTCTCGGGGGGGAGGGGGAAGGCGGAAGAGCAGGGCCTCCTGTCGGGGAAAGGGCCCGCTGGCGGCTGGTCCCCCGCGGGTGCCTGAGCCCAGCCTGCTCCTGTCCCCCATGAGCTGCGGGCTGGGGGCCCCAGCCGCCCCCGGGAGGGGGGCCCCGGGCCTCCAGTGCAGCCTTGGGTGGATCCTCATGCTTCCACCACGAGCACCCCTGCTTTGTGAGCTGGGGCTCAGGTGTGCAGGCCGCCCGCGCTCTGTGTCGCCCTCTGCGGGCGCCTGGATGCCAGCGCAGCTGTGGCAGACCGCAGTCCTGCTCGGGTTAATGGGGCCCCGGTGATGGGGGAGCCAGGGCTGCTGCTGGGCCGAGACCAGGGGCCTCGCCACAGGGCGCGTGGCCAGGCGGAAACCTTGGGACTGGGCATGCCCCCCACCTGGGAAGGGGTGATGGTCCTGATGCGAATCCCCCCCGCCCCATGCGTGTCCCAACCCCAGCCCTGCCGGAGCGGGCTCACAGGCTGTTGGGAGGGTCTGAGCCCCACCCCCGCCCACACAGGAGACCTGGCTGCCCTCCCAGAGAAGCCAGACCACCCAGGAGGAGGGCCTCCTGCCCCGAGTCCCAGAGAAAGTCATCAGGCTCTGCCCGGACACCCCCAAGGAGCCACAGCCCTTCTTGTCCACACGGAGGGACAGCCACAGAGCTGGGAGACGGGAAGTAAGAGGCTGTGGGTGCCACCCACCAAAAAAAGTCCCTTCGAATCTCAGTCCTCAGAGAGGCCAGCCCCCACGCCCACGGCATCCGTGAAACAGAGGGCAGGCGGCCGTTACGGCCTCCGTCAAGGCGTAAGAAAGAGGCCTCTGGTCCAGTGGGAAGGTCGGAAGACGGACTTCAGGGACTCCCCAGGAACCAGAACCAGGAATGAGCCTCGTAGCTCGCAGCCCCTCCCTCCGCCTCCGGCCCGGCCCAGCCAAGCAAGCTGGCGTGTCAGGAGCCGTGGGGGGCCTGCTGTTCACTGACAACCTCGCACAGCCAGTGAGCTCTTCAAATCGTGGACACACAGAATTTTGGTTAAAATGCCCAATAAATGGACAAGAAAACGAGTGAAGGTGGGCTTCCCTGAGCTGGGTGTCGGTGCAGACAATAAGGTGCTTAGGAACAGCAGCAGGGTGGGTCCGGGGACCAGGGAGACTCGAACCCGGGTCTGGCTGAGCCTCGAGTCCTGGGGAGACACAGGCCTTGCAGCAGGGAGTGCTGGGCCAGCAGCCACACCGGTCTGGGGGAGGAAAAGGAAAGTGCAGTCTTCCTCACCAGCATTCCAGACGATGGACTTCATAAGCGCAGTGGAGGTCAGGGGCTGGCCTGGGCAGGCGCGGCTGGGGCTGGCACCCGCCGGCTCCGGTTCGAGCAGGAAAAGACACGGTCTGAAGTGACAGCCTGGGGAAGGCCTGCGATGACACCGGCAAAGGACTCCTCCTCGGGGGGTGTGAGGAAGGCGAGGGAGTCGATGAGAAAGAGAACTAGGCCAGAGAAAATGGGCAAATTCTAAGCCCAGAAAAATCTCAGGAGAGTTCTGGCAGCTCTCTGGGGGCGGGGAAGCTGCCGCGGCCCGGTGACGACCAGGAGCAGATGAGCTGTCACTGGTCCCCATCAGACCGACCGCATTTCAAACACTACAGCTCACAGCACGGAGGATGGAGAACGAGGACGAGGACGAGGACGAGGACGAGGACGCCGCCCCCGGCAGTGGCAGGGGCGGTCCACGGCGGGGGCGGACATGCGGCTGCTCCAGCCGCCCCTGGATAAACAGGGGCCTGGACTGAAAGCCCTGGCCGGATAGGTGTGGGTTGGGGCCAGCTGGCCAGTCCTGCGGGTTGAACTGTGCTGGGTCGGTCCAGGGGTAGAGACACAGCCAGTGGGCCGGAGGGTCTGGCACAGGTCCTCGCATGGGCCTCACCTGCTCCGCCAGGGGGCCTCTCTTCCAATTCAGTGGGGGGATGACGGTCTTTCCAAGGGACGGTGCTGGATGCCCACGCAGAAGATGCAGGAGCTCTGACCCCCGACCACACCACTCACAGGAGTTCACCTGTGGCCCATCGGCCCGTGAGTGCTGGACCCATCGCACTTGTAAAACAAAACACAGGCTGGCAATATGGAAACACCAACCGCACGAGAAAAGACGGATAAATGGGGCTTTGCTGAGAGTGATTCCTGTTGGTTATCAGCCACAGCGGCCACAGAGTGGCACGAAGTATTCGCAGTCTCTTCAGTACAATGCAAAGGCATGGGCGCGTCTCCGACACAAACCGCCTGTCGGACGAGGAGCGCACATTCAGAATCTACAAGGACCCTCTTGGAATCAGTAAGAAAATGCAGCCGGGTGTGCACCCAGGCGGCTGCTGCTCCAGCTAGGTCCTAGTCGCTGGGACTGGCGGGGCGGCGCCTGCCCCGGCCTCCCTCAGCGTGTACTGGGAACTCGCTCGGACCTCCTTAAGCCGGGAGGCGGGGAGGCGGCTGGAAGCTCCGGCGCGGCTCCGCCCCGGGGTTGCCTTTTCCTTAGAAGGCGAAGCCCCAAGCCTCGCCTCTCCCCAGCGGAGAGTCACCCCGCGCCCCCCGACGGCGCCGCCGAAGCCCCAGGAGTGCGCGAGGAGCCCGCGCGCTTCGAGGTGCAGCCCGGCTCAGACGCACACAGGGCGCGCGTCCTCGTGGATTTGAATGGAAGGATCGAGATCGGCGGAGACGGCGGCGAGCAGACCCTGAAGCCAGAACTCCTTCCCGGCCCCTGTGCCCGCGACATGCGGCGGGAGAGGTGAGCAGGACGCGCGGCGTCCCTCCCCTGGCAGCCGCACCATGGGAACGGCTTGGCGGGGGACCAACGCCGAGGTCGGCGCGCCGCGGAGGTCGTGGCGCGGGAGTGTGGGGCCGGCCAGGGTCCCTGCTGGCTCGAAGTAGGTTGGGCTGTGCCCCTCGCCCGCGCCTCCGCGCACCCGTCTTCGAGCGCGGGCACGGCGGCTCCAGGGCGAGTCGTTATTTCCCCACGGTCCTTCCCGGGCAGCCGCACGGGATCTTTGTTATTTAATCCAGAACCGAGAAGAAGTAACTCCGTGTTTCTAAAGACTTGGGTCACATAAACGTATGGTTATCCGCAGCTGGCTGCGGCCCTTCCCCGGAGCCGCGCCTGGCCGGGCCTCTCCGTGCGCCCCAGCTTGGCGCGCGGACGCGATCTCGGCGCACGCCGCGCCCCTTTCGGCCCACTTCGCGCGGCTGGCCGCCTCCTCTGCCAGCCGGGCGGGGCGGCGGGGTGGACCCGGCTGAGCGCTGTCTGCCCGCAGGTGCGGCGCCCCTCGCCCGCGTCCCCGCCATGGAGGTGCTGCGGCGGTCCTCGGTTTTGGCCGCGGAGATCATGGACGCCTTGGACCGCTCGCCCACCGACAAGGAGCTGGTGGCTCAGGCTAAGGCGCTCGGCAGGGAGTTCGTGCACGCGCGGCTGCTGCGCGCCGGCCTGGCCTGGAGCGCGCCGGAGCGCGTCCCGCCCGCCCCGGGCGGCCGCCTGGCAGAGGTGTGCACCGTGCTGCTGCGCTTGGGTGAGTGTGGGCACAGGAGGGCGGGGTCCCCAGCCTGAGCTGGGGAGGGTCCCCCTCCAGAGCTGCTCGTCTGGGCGGACCCTGCTGCAGCCTTAGGCTACGGCTGTCTGGCTGTCTCAGCTCCGGCCTGTCCAGGGTGACCTGGCTCACACCCCTACTTGGGGTCTCAGGCTCCCTCTGGGGCAGAGAGGGACCTGGCCTGGGGGCGCGCCAGGAGTGCAAGGCAGGCCACCCAGGCAGAGCTCCCCGCCTCCCTCCTAGTCCTGTGTTTAGTGCCCTGGGTGGGGGGGGCGGGGCCCTGTCCGGGCGCCACAGACCTGCGGGACTGGCCTGCTCAGCCCAGATTTCAAACATGCTGGCCACAACGGATGGAAAGCTGTGGGGGGAATAATGTTTTAGTGGCTAAATTTCCAGAGTGACCCTTGTACCCAGCTGGGCACAAAATCCTTTGTTGGACCACGTGCCCTGATGTTTGTTTTGGAAAATAGGCCCTTTTAATTACTGGCTGAAACCCTACCCCCCACTGCTCTTTCCTCGTGATCTGGGGGCCTCCAAGGGCCCCTGGCAGAACTGGGTGCACAGGACAGCTGACACCACCACGGGGCTGGTGCAGACTTGTTCCTGAGGTCACACACAGCCCATACTCGTCTCCACCTTCTCCGGGGCCTGGACCCCTCAGCCTAGTCTGCCAGCCCAGCTCCCCCTGGGGGCTGAGGTCCTGCCTTCCGGCCCTAGTAGTCCTGGGGGCACGCGCCAGGGGGCGGGAGGCAGCACAGATGGGCCCTGAGCCGTCCGGTCCAGGCTGCGTGTGGGGAGAGGCTGACACCGGGTCTGCTTCTCCCTGTGCCCTGTGGCCCCCGGGAGTGTGAGTGATGGACACAGATTCCTTAGGCATGCAGGGGGCAGGGGAGAAGTTCCTAGGTGTGAGAACAAGTGGGGTTTGGGAGTCAGCCAGTAGTTCAGAGCACCTGGATACCCACGAGGTCAGCTGTCCATTGCTGTTTCTTCCAGTTGGGCTGTGGGGGTGACACTGGGAGGCACCTTCTGGAGGACCCCTGGAGCGGCCAGGAGGGAGCCTGCCTATTCTGGCCTGCTCTGTGACCCGGCCCCAGCCTCCATCTTGCCTGGGGCTGCCTCCTCCCTGGGCCCGGTGTCCCTGATGGGTCTCTGTCTGTCCCCTCGGTCCTCCGTTCCACACGAGAGCCCCAGCACTTCTGGCCTGGGCCTGGGCAGCTACACTGGCCCTCTCAGAACTCGGGCCTTTCCCAGTGCCCAGCCTGGCCAGGTCCAGCCCCTGCCAGTTGCCACGGGGGCCCCAGAGGGAGGTGGCTTGGGTTTCCAGAGTGTGGAGATCTGGTCCCCTGCATCCTGCCTGGGTGCTGCTGCCCTGTCCCCAGCCCAGCCCGGCCCCAACTCAGCAGGCGCCCGGCTCCAGGGACAGCACATACAGGAAGAAGCGGGTCACGTCCTGGTCAGTCTCTCGGGGCCAGTCCCCAGCAGCCCCTGAGGTCTGTGTGGGAACAGCCGGGCCAGCACTGGGAATTTCCAGGCCCCCTCGGCGCCCCCCCCACCGCGCCTCAGTTCCACCCCGTTCCAGGTTGCAGCTGGCCCCAGGGATGCCGCAGGCGCCCTTATCGGCCAGGATTGTCCAGTCGGCATTTCCCTGTTTGCTTTGGCTGGAGAGGTGGCTGGGCTGGGGGACACCCAGTCCGAGGGCTGTGGAACGCCCGGCCCTCACTGCCAGGGCACCGCAGGGAGCACAGGCCTCGGGCAGGGCCCCGTGACGGGGCCTGTCCCCTCAGGGTGGCTGCCCTGTGCACAAGCCCTCTTGGCATGGGGCACGGGTTGGAGCCTGGGCGGTGCCGGGACCCCAGACAATGGCTACATCACTCAGTCACCGCGAGGTGCGGGGCCTGAGTGAGGCTGCGGCCTGGGTTGCCCACCCGTGTGGGTGTCAGTCCTGCCCTTGTTGGGTCTGGCCGGCTTCCCTGTCCGCCTGCCGCCCGGGCGGCTCGCTGTGGGCCGTGTGAGTCACCCGTCAGGCACGGCCCGGGCTGCTCCCGGGATTCCCGCCCCACCGGCCCAGCCGGCTTGCCCCTGGGTGGGAGGGCTCCCTCGTCACGAGGGGCGGGGTGCAGGGGCAGGTCTGGGGGTGCCCAGCACACCTCTCTGGTCTCCTGGTCCTCAGGGGCCATGGGGGTCGGGTGGGGTCAGGTCATAGGCCAGCTGGTGCAGGCAGGGTCTCCAAGCCAGCCGGGGGGCGGGGCTGTGGAGGGGGCTGGGCCCAGGCCTGTGGGACCGGGCTGGGGCCAGGCCGCGTGGGCCCCTCTGACCGCCCTGTGCCGCAGGGGATGAGCTGGAGCTGATTCGGCCCAGCGTGTACCGCAACGTGGCCCGCCAGCTGAGCCTCTCCCTGCAGTCCGAGAGCGCGGTGACGGAGGCCTTTCTGGCCGTGGCCGCCCAGATCTTCGTCGCAGGTAGGTCTGGGTGTCCGCTCCAGGGTGCCCACAGTCCCTGTGGCATTGGGGGCCTGCCGGGCAGCTGGCACAGAGCCTCCCGTGGTCCTGGCTGGACAGTGGGTGGAGCTGCTGGCGAGAGTGGGGCTGGGCGTCCTGCACGTGGCCTGTGGGCCCCGGGCTGCTCACAGCCAGACGATGGGGGACAGAGCAGGGCCTGTGGCTGGAGGCCTCTCGGCCGTGGCCGGTGGGGTGGCGGGACACAGGGCTGCCAGCTGTAGAGTCCAGCCTCCTCCAGGGCCACCCCGCAGTGGGCCAGCGCCGCCTGCCCGGGGCAGAAGTCACCATGGCAAAGACGTCCTGAGGGGCTGGGGCAGGCTCCTCCGGAATGTTCCTCCAGGGCTGACCCGGGTCCTGGAGAGGCCTGGCGGGGGGAGGGCCTGTGACCCAGCGGGCCCCTTGTGGAGGAGGTGGCGCGTGGCGTCTGGGCTGATGCCTGCCCTTGGCGGTTCCTGGACTCCCCTGTGCCCAGGCCTGACGCTGGCACGTGGGTGGCCGCCTGTATGTGTCTCCGGGCTGTCGGGCGGCTGGTTTACGAGCCCCAGGCTTTAAAAGGAAGTTCATCTGCGGGAAGGCAGCCCTGGCCTGCTGGCGGCTGGGACTGCGCGGGGAGGCAGGGCCTGGCATCGCTTGTGTGCACGCGCAGCGGCCGGGGACCAGGACAGAGAGCCTGCCCTCGCCTGCCCAGTGCGGGGACGGCCTGAGAGGCCCCTCTGCCCCCGCCACTTGCCCACCGTGGCAGGGCTGCCTGGCGAGGGGCCCGGAAGGGGCTCACTCTGCCGCCTGTCCTTCCTCGGGTGGCCCTCCCATCAGGGAGCAGGCGGCAGCCCCCTGGGGCTCACGTTGCATCCCAGGTGCCCACCTGGGTCCCGTCTCAGCGGGCCGTCTGGTTTCCAGGGTGCATTCTTCGTGTCTAATGTATTGCTTCTATTTTTTCCCCTTGTGAACCAGCCGTTCCTGTTCTGTGCTCCGTTCTTTGGAAAGGTTTTGCCTTTTCCTCATGGGTCTAGATTAGGAAGTCTTTTGATGTATCAAGGGAACTCGTACCACGTGGGTGGCTCCTCTTAGCTCTGCCACCCGCAGCTGGGGGTCGCAACAGGCCCTTTCTGCTGCGGAGTGTCCCGCCGCCCCACAGGGCAGCGCAGGGGACAGACAGCCGGGCAGCGGCGCCCTGAAGCTGCTGGCTGCACTGTGTCCCCATCCGAGTCAGCCAGCCCCCAACCCCCTCAGTCTCCTCCTGGCCAACCGCCTCCTCCCGGAGCAGGGGGCTGCGCGCGTGCGCAGGTGTGTGGGCGAGGCCCCAGAAATCTCCGCCTGAGAGCCACCCTCGAGGGTGGACGGACGGGGTTGACCTACAGCGGATGCCGGCCCGGCACCGGGCTCGGGGGGGCGATTCGGGTGGCGCTGCCCCTGACCTTTGCCCCCACCCCACCCCCGGAGTCAGCGGAAGGGGCAGGGGAGGCTTAGTGTCCTGCCGTGACCCCCGGTGGGATGCGAGTGGTTTTGGGTGGCTGCTGAATGGTGTCCCCTCCCTCCCGCAGGCATCACGTGGGGCAAGGTGGTGTCCCTGTACTTGGTGGCCGCGGGGCTGGCCGCGGACTGTGTGCGGCAGGCGCAGCCGGCCTTGGTCCACGCCCTGGTCGACTGCCTGGGGGAGTTCGTGCGCAAGACCCTGGCGGCCTGGCTGCGCAGGCAGGGCGGATGGGTGAGTGGGGCTGGGGCTGGGGCTGGGGGCGGGGCCTGGGCGGGGGCGGGGCTAGAGGTGGGCGGAGGGGTGGGGCTGCTGTGTCCCGCCCCGCCCCTCTGGGTTGACCTGTATTGCCCGCGACTCCAGCACCCAAGACCCGCTGCCCCGAGCCCCAGCCCTGCCCTGCCCTCCCCACCGGCTCGGGCGCCCACTGAGCGATGGTGTGGGTTGTGCCCGACACTGTCCTCATGCCCCCAGCTGCGCCCCTGGCCCAGCCAGACCGTGGGGGCTGCTGGCCCCGTGGGGCCGTCTCCACCGCAGGAGGTCGGTCCTGCCCCGAGGATGGGGGCCGGGAGGAGTGCGTGGGGCTGCTGTGCCCGCCCCCCGCCCCCCTGCAAAGACCCTGAGGCCTCTGTGCTGCCCCCAGACCTTCCGCGAGCGGCCGCATGCGTCCGGTCTGCTCCTGGCAGGGGTGGAAGATGCGGGCCTCTGCTGCCCCGCACTGCTCACTGTCCCCCCTCCCTCCAGACCGACATCCTCAAGTGCGTGGTCAGCAGCGAACCCGGCTTCCGCTCCCATTGGCTCGTGGCGGCGCTCTGCGGCTTCGGCCGCTTCCTGAAGGCCGCCTTCTTCGTGCTGCTGTCGGACAGATGAGCCCTGGTCCCGGACCCCGGCCCTCGGCTGAAGCACCGCCCTCCTCCCCCCGAGTCCCTCCTGTGCTCGCCCGGGCCCTCAGGAATGCCTGGAGCTGGCCTGCAGCGCCCCCCTGTGGTCCCGCCTCATGCGCCCCACAAGGTCAGGGTCGCCTCCCAGGCCGGAAGGAAGGCAGCCAGGAGCACCAAGCCCCCCCGCCCCCCATGCCGGGGTCCCGTCCACAAAAGGGGGCCACGTCAGGACCTGAGCCAGGAGGTGGCTGGGCCTGGCCAAGGCCAGAGGAGCCGAGAGGCCTCACTGGCCGCACAGACGCTGTCGCTGGGACCGTGTCCCCGCCTGTGGCCGCGTCCTGGGCGGCACCTGGACCTGGGAGGGCACCGGCCCTGACCAACAAGGACAGGGTGTGCGTTTGAGTCCAATAAAGTGCCACGGCCACGGAGGGCGCCCACCTGCATTCCCGGTGCCGCTGCCGGGACCGGACCGGAGGTGGGCACATCCGTCCTCGTCTGCCCTCAGCTCCCGGGGGCCACAGCGGCCGCGCACACTTACACTCCCAGGCGTGCACACTCGCGCACGCAGGCACACGTGAGAGAGAGCCAGGTGCCCGTCCGTCCCGGCCACTCCCGTCCCTCTGCTCGGCCAACACGGCCCATTTCCTGCCCATGGGCTGCCCCTCGGCCCCCAGCCCAGCTCTGGGCTGTCCCCATCGGGGCCTGTCCCTGCCGCCCCTCCGACTCCAGCCCAGGCCACGGGTGCACGGCACAGAGGGCCCGTGGGATGTGGCCTCAGCTCCCCTGTCTGTGTGAGGCAGGGCTGAGCCCTGCCCCCCATGCAGCCGCTGGAGGAAGCGAGGGTCCTGATGGTTCAGCTCCCCTCAGCTCCCCCCCCACCCTCTCCTGGCCCCCCAGGGGTCCTCTCAGCCTCTGCCGGCCACCCCCTCCCAGGGGCCTCAGTGCCAGGGGTGGCGGGTGGGGAGGTGGAAGGGAGGCGAGAAAGGGGCAGAGGGGGAGGGGGCGGCCCATCCTCTCGGATCAAACGCTCGGGTGCTTCCAGCACGAAGAGGGACGTGTCAGACCCCAGAACACCCTGGAGAGCCGCGGGGTGTGAGCGTGAGCGTGTGCGCGCAGGGAGAAGGTGCCCCGGGGGCGCGCCCTGTGTCAGCAGCAGCACGAGCGTCGGGTTCGGCGTGCGAACCAGACGAGGACGGTGCAGCCGCCCGGCAGGGGGAGTCGGGACGAACTGCGGCAGCGCCAGCTCCTGGAGAGGAGAACCCGCACGGGACGCGGTCCCTGGAAGTGCAGACATTCGATGCCGTCCTTGCAAAAACAGCGGGATTTATTTTCCTGGATCTGAACAAGCTAAACTCCACATGAGAGAAACAAAAAGGGAAAAACAGCCAGAAGAACCCTCACAGAGAAGAGGAGCGAGGAGGGTTCGGCACAGGCTGGCTGGACAGACCATCCCCACCAGGCACTCGGTTGCAGCAAGCAGGCGGGGGCGCCGGACGCCCAGCCCAGGCCTGACCCAAGAGCGCCGTGCGTGAGGACGCTGGCAGTGGGGAGCAGGTGGGCTCGTCGCCGCGTGTGCGCACTGCCAGACAAATTCCAAATGCACCAAAGAGCTAAGTATAAAAAAAAAGTGAGTGAATTTCTTTGGAACTAAGGAGTGGGCAAAACCTTCCCAAATAAGATTTAAAATCCAGAGCCCTGACTGATGTAGCTCAGTGGATTGAGTGCTGGCCAGTGAACCAAATGATTGCTGGTTTGATTCCCAGTCAGGACACGTGCTTGGGCTGCAGGCCAGGTCCCCAGTAGGGGGCGCATGGGAGGCAACCACACATTGATGTTTCTCTCCCTCTCTCCTTTCCCCTCTCTGTAAAAATAAATAAATAAAATCTTAAAAAAATATATTTAAAATCCAGGAACAATAAAAGGCAAAATATGTACCGGCAAAAGGATTTATAACGTTTACTATCTAAAGGGTGGGTGAGGGCTTTTCTTTATTTTTATTGTTATTTTTATCCTTGCCCAAGGGTAAGCTTAGAGAGGGGAAAGGGAGCAGGGGAAACATCAGTGTGGGAAACATCGGTTGGTGTGAGCTCCCCGACGGGACCAGTCTCGTTACCTAGGCCGCTGCCCTGGCTGGGAATCAGACCCGCGACCCTGTGGTGTGAGGGACGACACTCCGACCAACCGAGCCGCACCAGCCAGGGCGAGGGGACAGGGTTTTCCGGTGTGACAACACGCTTTGGGAGTAGACGGGCAATGGGTGCACAACACTGTGAACACACGAAACATGACGCTGAACTGTCTGTGGGTACTTTAAAATGACGAACTATGTCATAACTGCATTTTATCTCAATACAATTATAATTTAAATTACGAATATTAGGATTGATATTTCTAACTCAAAAGAGCTCAGCAGCTCCAAAAAGTCAAGAAGAAAAAGACAAAAGAAAAGAAATGGAAACCAAAATTAACCCAAGATTCCATGGCTCGCTGGTCAGATTGGCTCGGGTCCAGGTTTGACAACAGACTGCTGGGGGGGGGCAAGAAGGCAGCCCCCCCACCCCTCGGGACACAGCAGGGACGCTCTCACGCTGGGACGGGCGGTCCCACTCCTGAACGTCTGTTCTGCAGATGCGCGAGCGGAGGTGCTGAGCCGGCCTCGCCGCTGTGGCGTTCTGTGAGCGCGGGCGGGGACAGAACGCACGCCCGGCAGGAGGAGACCTGGCAGGCGGGTGCGAGGCGGCGGCTTCCCAGGGCCACCGCGCACGGAGCCGGGCACGCGGGCAGGACCTGCCTGTGCACAGCGCAGTAGCTCCGTGGGGCGCTTTGCACTGGCCAGGCTGATCCGAGAGGACGTTCCACCTGTGCGAGCTGAACTAAACGAGCGTGTCCGTGCAGAAACTGGTTATTCCAAGTATTATTTCAACAACCGCGTCCTTGATGAGAAAGGCATACGAACAGTACAAAACAGTACAACACTTTCACCAACAATGTCACTGTTAATGAGACTATCATTGACCCGAAATAATCGCGTCCTGTGGAGTAAAGCAAATAAGCTTAACATTCTAAAGAACCCAGGTTTTCATCTTAAAAGACGTAAAGTGAAAAAAAATTAAGTAAAAAAGTTATAATCTTAAAATTGGAATGGGAAACGGTGCACACACACCCACTTTTTTCTTTCAGAAATGTGCCTGCCCCAGGGGCGGGGCCGTGACCCCTTACCTAACCCTCGAGGCCTGGGAAAGAAGTCGGTTGTGAGATGTCGCCTGGGCTCTGTCCCTGGAGACGGGCCGGCAGCCAGGAGAGCAGCTGCCCGTGGCCTCTGAGTCCCACCCCAACGTAAAAGCAGGCCCCGGGGCAGCGGTGGTGCTGGAGCTCAGGGCCATGGGGACTGGGGGCGACTGGGGGCGACTGGGGGCCAGCTGTGAGTGCACCGGCGCACCTGCCCCCCCACCCCACCCCCCTGTGCGAGGAGCAGGCTGCACGGGACCAGAATCCCGTCAAACGGGCCCAAGTCCCGGGTCCTCGGAGGAGCGGGGAGCTGGAGGGTGGTGTGGGGTGGAAAGGCCAGCTCCAGGGTTGGACAGCTAACAGTTGACGACGGTCACAGGGAAGACGGGGCCGTGGGGACCCGACGAGCCACCCAGGAGGGCCCCCTGCCTGGAAGCTTTGTCTTCCGCTGAGCGAGCCGAGCCCTGCCCACCCACTGTTCTCGCGCGTCTGGGGTGACGTCTGTGGACCGTGACCTCCCTCCCAGACCTCGGAGCCGGCCCACGCGGAAGCCCGCGTGTTGCTGCATGCAGTCCCTGCTGCCGTGCTGCTCGTCAGCCCCGGCCCGCTCCGAGGACAGGCCAGCTGCCTCTCCATGTCCTCCCCCTCCAGTCCGGGCGCCGCCCTGCCTCCTCCCTCTGCCCCAGGACACCGGTGACCTTCCTCAGGTCCCTTCCCTGTGGAGGCGCCGCCGTTCCTGCAGCCTCCTCTTGGTCCGTTGAGGTCTCACCTCTGCGTGTGTTGCGAGTGCTGGCTCAAACACGTTCTTTTTTATTTTATTTTATTTTTTAAAAGATTTTATGTATTTTATTTTTATTTTTTTAAATTATATTTTATTGATTATGCTATTACAGTTGTCCCATTTCCCCCCTTCTCTCCCCTCCACCTTATACCCCCTCTCCCACCCATGTTTCCCCCCTTTAGTTCATGTCCACGTGTCATAAGTTCTTTAGCTTCTACATTTCCCGTACTGTTCTTGCCCTCCCCCTTGTCTGTTTTCTACCTACCATCTATGCTACTTATTCTCTGTACCTTTTCCCCCTCTCTCCTCCTCCCACCCCCCTGCTGCTAACCCTCCATGTGCACTCCATTTCTGTGGTTCTGTTCCTGTTCTACTTGTTTACTTAGTTTCTTTTGGTTTTGCTTTAGGTGTGGTTGTTAATAATTGTGAGTTTGCTGACCTTTTACTATACATGTCTTTTCTTTATCTTCTTTTCTTAGATAAGTCCCTTTAGCATTTCATAAAATAAGGGCTTGGTGATGATGAACTCCTTTAACTTGACCTTATCTGAGAAGCACTTTATCTTCCCTTCCATTCTAAATGAGAGCTTTGCTGGATAGAGCAATCTGGGATGTAGGTCCTTGTCTTTCAGGACTTGGAATACTTCTTTCCAGCCCCTTCTTGCCTGTAAGGTCTCTTTGGAGAAATCAGCTGACAGTCTGATGGGAACTCCTTTGTAGGTTACTGTCCCCTTATCTCTTGCTGCTTCTAGGATTCTCTCCTTCGTTTTTACCTTGGCTAATGTAATTATGATGTGCCTTGGTGTGTTCCTCCTTGGGTCCCACTTCTTTGGGGCTCTCTGAGCTTCCTGGATTTCCTGGAAGTCTATTTCCTTTGCCAGAATGGGGCAGTTCTCCTTTATTATTTGTTCAAATACGTGCTCAATTTGTTGCTTTTCCCCTTCCCATTCTGGTACCCCTATAATTCGGATGTTGGAACGTTTAAAGGTGTCCTGGATGCTCTTAAGCTTTTCCTCGATTTTTTAAAATTCTTATTTCATCATGCTTTCCTGCTTGGTTGATTCTATCTTCCTTCTGGTCCTCTGTATTGTTTTGAGACTCAGATTCCTTCCTTTCACTATTGGCTCTCCGTGTATCTTCCTGCATCTCTTTTATGGTAACCTGCATCCTTTCATCTAAATTGCGCCTAAAATCAACCAATTCCGTGAGCTTTCTGATCACCAGTGTTTTGAACTGCGCATCTGATAGACTGGCTATTTCTTGGTCGCTCAAAAGGATGAGTTCTGGGGCACTGATTTGTTCTTCTATTTGAGCCATCTTTCTCTCTTTCTTTTTTTTTGTCTGGTCGCTCCTGTTATGGTGGGGGGCGGAGCCTTAGGTGTTCACCTGGGCTGGGCACCCCAGTCGCTAGATTGTGACG